TATCATACGAATGTGCTCGCGCGATCAAATCGCCAAAATAACACCTAGAACTCTAAATTTAGCACCAATTCAAATGAAATTCTCAAGAACACATTAAAATCCATAACTTCTCAACTGGACGCCCGAATCACGTCACATCAACTCTGTTCCTCACCAAATTTCACAAACATGTCTTAAATATCATAATGAACCTGTACCGGATTCCGGAACCAAAATACGAACCCCTAACAATGCCAAATATCAATCAATTCTTAAAAATAAATAATTTTCAAACTTTTAATTTTCATCGAAAATTCATAACTCAAGCTAGGGACCTCCAAATTCGATGTCGGGCATACGCCCAGATCCCATAATTCGATACGGACCCACCGGGACCGTCAAAGCACGTATCTGAACCCGTTTACTAAAAATATTGACCGAAGTCAACTAAAATTAACTTTTAAGGCAAAAATTCTTATTTTCATTAGTTTTCAACATAAAAGCTTTCTGGAAACCTGCCCGGACTGCGCACGCAAAATCGAGGAGGATAAAAATGAGATTTTTAAGGCTTAAGAGCACCGATTCGAGTTCTAAAACATAAGATGACCGTATATTCAACTGCTTTGGAAATTTAGAACATGTCTGCTTTTGCTTGCAGGAAGCATGGAAATGCATGTCGTACATGTAGTTTGATCTATGTGTCAAACTATTTAGAAATTGCACCATAGGCTTGTAGCTTAGTGTTTCTCTCAATTGGAGCAAATCAATCTCCTATTTTGGGGGTGCAAGAGTCTGTATTCTTTCATTGTTTTACCAAATATAGTGTGTTCTCTGCTCAGTTAAAACCTAGTTATTGAGATGGTACGATTGAATAAAAGAAGAAGCATGCTGTTCTGCTATTTGAAATGTTATGTCTGCTAAACTTGAGCTGATTGTTGAAACAGAGATTGGGCTAGGATTGACAGGATTCGGAGTGTTTTTCTTATTCTTGGGGATCATATTGTTCTTTGACAAGGGACTAATTGCCATGGGAAATGTAAGTACAGAATATTGCCATGATCGTCACTTATCTTTGGTTTTCTCTGACTTGTCATTTACCACTTTCCTTTGGGCACCAGTTGACATGGTGTTATTTTACTGCATCAGATCCTCTTCTTCTCAGGGGTGGCGCTGACCATCGGTCTCAAGTCATCACTGCAGTTCTTTATGAAACGTAGTAATTACAAAGTTTAGTTGCTTTTGGGCTTTTTTCCTCTTCCTGTTCACCCCAACGATTGCTCTTTATCTCTCTAAAAGTTATGGTCTGGTGGTACATCTTTTATGTTTCTATTATTTATATGTTTATCTTTTTTGCTTCTCTCTCTCTCTCTCTCTCTCTCTCTCTCTCTGTGTTCTGATCTATACTGGGAATGATTCTTGAGGCATATGGATTTGTTGTACTCTTCAGGTAAATTTGTTTTGTGGTTCCTTGGTTTCTGGCCAACATTGGCAGTTTTTTTTGCAAAAGATACCTATTCTAGGTTGGATCTTCCAGCAGCCCTTTGTCAGATCGGTATGTTTATGCGTAATTCATATACTTTCTTCCATTGCTTTCAGTTTGGGGGAGGGACTTCCTTAATAGCTTTTAAGAAAAGCAGTTCTCTTCAAAATTTTTGTGTTCTTCTGTTCCAAACATTACAGATTGGTTGGACTCGTATTCGTAATTCTGAATCCTAAGATCTATGTGACACCGACTCTGGCTTAGGATATCCCCACTTGTCTCCATCTGCCCATAGCATTACAATCTTACCAATTTATTGTGGGCTTTACTAGAATACAAAGTATGACTAGTTTCTTTATACTTTGTAAGAATGAAATTGGGAGGCCAGAGGGTATCTCGCTCTTTGGTAAATTATCAAGCCATCTGATGCTTTCTGTTAATGCATCGATTCTTGTATCACTCCATTGCTACCATGTTAAATAAATCAGACTTTTTGTTTGGTTGTTAGATATCTGATATTAAGGTGATTGTGTCTTGGAATACCCTACTCTAGTAAGGGATCATACAGTGTCATGATCGAGTCTCGAAATGCCTAAGCCTAATCATTAAGTAGTTGTCCGACATTCCAGTCCTCATGCATCTGTCTGAAGATGTTGAAGTACTGTTAAGGCGGTACCACAGAAGGGAAAATCCTCCTATGGCTGCAATTTTGTAATCTTCAAATTCACACCCGAGACCCGACCCCAATAACCAACCATGGTTAGTTACTTCGTGCCTCAATGCAAAAGCTCCACACAAAAAATAGTCTAGAAGAAGATAAACACTCTTCGACTTATAAAGTTAAATGATTGTTGTTTTCAAACAAAGCAAAAATTATCTTTCGGTGTCAGTGTCACTACATATTAAACTTGAAGAATGTTTATAATTTTCTCTTGCACTGATACATTATTACTCAATCTAAGGGAAAAGTATGCACTGCAGTGGTTCTTGTTCTCTTTCTTTTGGTCTGAGGTTATTTTTCTCTCTGCAGTTCTTTGACCGCTACCGTGGAAAACGAGTCCCTGTATAGTGTCATTTGAAAGATTCAAAGGAAGTGATATTGGTTAGCCCACTTGTTCGAATTGTAAAGTACTGTGTTGTAAGATTTACATTTAGAAGGATGATGATAGTAATAGTAGGGTCAAGGGATAGAATTTTTGACAGATTTGTTGCTCTTGAGATAATTCAACGAATCCAGTTATACAGGAAAAGGGAAAACTGGTTGACAGTTTATTTGGAAGCTGGGGGAATGAAAGTGAAGAAAAAGAATTAATGTTCAGCTCTTTCATCAATGGGACAAAAATCAAGTCTCATCTCCATTTACTTTCTTCTTGCATATTACAACCAAAGTCACTGGAACAGAAAATCATCCACACTTCTCTTTTTTCCAATCTCTTCTCTTCCTACTCCCAAACCAAATTGTAAAAAACATCCTATTGTTTCACAAAGCATGCCCTACAATAAGAACTTCAAATGTACCCAAAGATATCTTGCCTTTTTCCGCTTAAAAAAGTTTCAGAACACTTAAAATAGAAAACAGTGGCCAGTTATAAGACTCATAAAACATATATCATCCAGTCAGCTAAGCTTTGCCTTCAAAGGTTGCTTGATTCCATTTGAAATGTATTATCAACAACTTGCAGCCCATTTTCTGAGGCAATGATTGCTGTGCACCTGAAATTAATCCAGTGAAAGCAGAAATAAGAATAAAATGAAACTAGCTTGTTGGTAGAAAATCAGGGAAGGGGTAAAGGAAGGGAACAGTTGAAAGATGGAAGATGAAAGAAAATAAAATAAGGAAAATCATTTTCCTCTCAGGATACTATGTCAAACATAAGAGAAGAGACACTTTTTGTTTCATAGAAAAATAAGAAAGTCATTTTCTTCTAAGCTCTACTCTATTGTCTATCACTATCTTCTTTTTCCTCCTCGCTAAATACAGCATAAACCTTATCACTTCATCCAGAAACAAGGACAAACTATCAACGACAACAATCAACCATGAGCTATTGAAGGCAATTTGCAAGAATATTAGTGCTACAACCTTTAAATCTAACCAGTTTATCTACAATTCATTTACTTATTTTGTTTATAGCTATGTTCCGCAGATACTGTACAAACAACTCCACACAATAACTAAAAAGAGCATGAGACACTAAAACACAAAGATCTTAAATTGAATATCTTTATATCTATCCAACATTTTCGTGTATCAAGCATAATGTCTGATAAAAATAGGAAATGGATGAGATAGATAGACATAAGTGGTAGGAGAACTAACGGGTTCCTGAAGATAACACCATGTTCCACAACACCATCAATTTGATCGAGAGTTTTAGCCACTTCAACTGCCACATGAACAATGGGAGGTAGACAGTTAGCATCAAACAAGTTGAACAAAAGTGGCAAAGAATACTTTGGATATGGAGATATACCAAGGCTTTCCATTGGAGACGTAAATATGACATCAAGAATGTTGTGCCCTTCTTTAGTGACTAAAGGGAAATCACCTCCCAGTGGACCTGCATACCCTATAGCTGGCCTCCTCCAAACCTCCACAAAGAAACAAATAACATTAAGGAGATGACAATTGAATGGAAAGAGAATCCACTATGTCCCCTGAAAGTTTCTAATTGATCTTCAAATATTACTTCGACGATGTTGGTTCATATATCATTACAGAAAGATGAGGAGAAATACAATTATGAAAGCCAAGGAGAAAATGTTAAGACTGATAGATACTAGTTTACAGGTGCTCAAAATGTTATATCTCCCAGAGATAAAAAAAAGAGATTCTACAATCTAAAAAAGACCATCTCAAAGAAGAATGCAACTTTAGCTTGTGGCACTGGCAAAAATGTCAAGTAATCCTAATCCTAGCATGAATATTATTGAGGTGAAAAGTGCAAAGGTAAAAAAGAGAAGGGAAAGAGGAAGAAAAAGTTCATTTCTGTTGGTAAACTAAGTGGAGGAAAATGTGATCCACTTATCCGATATTCGAAAGACTATCATTAAGGAAGAATACTACTTGCCCAAGAAATACATCCTATCTTGGTCTTTTGCAAACATCAGAGTTTGGCAAGGAGAGAAATTTTTTTATGCCTTAACAGGGTAATACATGTCTAGGCTTTACCTCCGCATCCCCTAGGAAGAGGTCATCTATTTCTTCAGCTGTCTCAAGCCAGTTAACCTGAGAAGTCAATAAGCTTAAATGAGGATAGTTCTCACCTTTTGAACTACACTTGTTCATCAGCATTTAGCAAAATATTTGGTCGGGAACTTACAGATTTAATTAGTACTGGAATTGAACCATCTACACTGCCCTTGAATTGTTTTTCCTTTATAATAAGTATCAGTTTATCAGCGGCTTCCAGAATAATCTGCAAGCAGTATCAGTCAACGAAGGCTCATAAAAAACCAGTGAATATTAAGGAAGATGATAAAATGTAAGGAACTTCAAGCTGAAACACTGAAAGAAGCAATAATATATTACAAATCAAGATAGATGATACAAGAACAAATATGCAAAACATTGATTGCCGTGTAGAAGTACAGAGATAATAGAAATTTTTTCTTTTAGACTATCAAATAGGGTTGAATACATAACAACCCACGAGAAATATGACAAACCTTCTCTTGAATTATAGAATCATCACCCTGCAGTTTCCGACGCCCAATGATTGCTGCAAGTGTTTCTTCTTCCATAGTATCAGCATCATCAAACGCTAGATCAATCTATGTAAGAAAAAATAGAAAGATTGCGTGAAACGTTTCAGCTTCAATGCAACAATCCAATAAGTGACAGAATAAAGCAAAATCCCAGATACTAGGCTTTAAAGCTTCACTACTTAAACTGGAGTAACTATCATCTGAAACTTTACAATGACTTTACTTCAATAGGACTTTCTCTCTCTTTCAAGAAGGTAATTCAATTTACATTACCCTGACCAAGGATCTTCTATCTGCTAGCTCCATTAATATTTGCATGATGGAACTTGAAGCTAAACTAAATAGCTATATAGACTTTGACTGCAATTTGAATTCATTGTGGGTTCAAGATGGTGTCTGGACGCTCACATTTTTTAATAACTCCTAATGCAACTATCTAAGGAAGAATCTTAGTAGTGGTACGCACCATATAACCATCATTGTACTGTTCCAAGGGTATTCCTGCCTTGGCTGCTTCACTTGCGCTGCCAACACATCTGCACCAGAGTGTTCCTGGTTACTCCTAATGGAAAAACAAACAAACTCAATAACAAGGCTTCAAGTATATGGAAAATAAATAAGAAATGGCAAAATTGTCGATCCAATTACAAGCTAACATTCAACTATTATCTGGGAGTAAATTTTAAGGTTTTTGGTATAACATAAAAATTTCTCTCGGGAAATGATCTCACTGATGAAATCATTTTCCAGTTTTTGGTTCTCTTAAATTGTTGAAAATGTATTCTCTAGAGAAACCAGGACGCGTTTTGGCTCAAATAGAGTGGAATGGTGGTTACAAAGGATTCATATACCGGAAACCACCGAGGCAAAGTCGATGATTGGATATTCCCTCCTTTACGAGTGGAAGTCATTTTCCTTGATAAATCCTTTTAGTTTTCCATATCATTTACTTCAACCAATACATAGACATTATTGTCCCATTAATACTCAAAAAATCAACAACACATTATCCTCGTGACCGATCCTCCCCTTTCTACTGTTTCATATGTAAGCTAAATATCCAACCATACTGGAAATGATCCACAAGAAGGGGAACTCTGGTGTAACTGGTAAAGTTGTTGCCATGTGACTAGAAGGTCACGGGTTCAGGCCGTGGAAACAACCTCTTGCATAAATACAGTGTAAGGCTGCATACAATAGACCCTTGCGCTCAGTCCCTTCCCCGGACCCGCGCATAGCGGGAGCTTAGTGCTGCCCTTTTTACTGGAAATCATCCACAAATGATTTTTCGAGATAAAGCATTTCCTACACACCAAACAGAACCTAAAAGGAAAATGAAGTAAAACGGGATAAGGAAAAGAATATACATGGAGTATGTCTATTCAACAGGCAAATTAATCTATATTATGAACTACAACAAGGAAAACACTCAGAAACGAACACAAACCAAAATCAAATTGTATGATCGTATCATATTTCCCTTCTTTATATTTCCTTTTGTGATCACAGTAAATGATCTTCATATAGTTGGAATACAACAGCCGAAGCAAAATATAGTTTTTTATGTTAAAGGGACTGTAACCAAGAAGCATGTGTGTAATAAGTGTACTACCAACGAAGGCTGCGGTTGGTCCAAAGGATCGGCCCCAGACTGATTCATCAAAAAAATAATAATAATAATAAGTGTACTACCAGCATCAAGACATTTAGGTAATTGGACATTTGAACTTACGTGGGTATGCCAGTGATATCTTTTATAGCACCAACCCTAAGTTGCTGACCTAGATATTGTATAGCCAAAGCAGAAGCATGACCTGAGCCCAATCCTATTACCATACCACTCTTCACATAAGAATCCACCTACAATACAAAGAAACACAGATCAATTCGTATGTTTTACAAGAAGAAAGAATAGAGACGAAGGAGAAAGAGTATTTACTGCATGTTTGGCGGCTAGGAGGAGACCAGCAGAGGGATCAGAGAAATTGGAACGAGTAACAAAGCGCTGAAGGGAATTTCTTGATGAGACGAAATTATAAGCTTGCTTTCGAGTTTGCAGAATATAAGAAGAAATAAATGGTGATGCTGAAGAAGGCAACGCCCAAGCCAACGCCATAGCCAATGTTCCTCACTTCTTTCTCTCTTGCTCTCTATCAAAATATCTATCACCTCCTATTAACAATTTCTATCTGTTTGAAGGAGATAAGAGGGCGCCACCCGCACATTTTTTTTTAATTCTTTTAGTACTTGTTGTTATTGAATGTTTTTGTTATGTTGTTACTATTTCCACGTTGAGATAGTGATATATTGTCTTTCTTGTTTTCTTTTCTTCGTGAGCTGAGTTTATCGAAAATAATTTTTCCGCCCTATGGAGTATAGGTAAGTTCGGCGTATACTTCCTTACTCATAACCCACTTTGTTAGATTTTATTACTAGTTGTTGTTATTGTTAGTACTTAATATACACCTTATTGTTTGGCCCAAGTGCACAAAGAGCCTTGTTTAGAACCGCTATTTAAAGAATAACCAAAACTTATAAAGTATTTAGTCTGAAGTTTGATTTTGGGAGTTCAAATTTTATACCTTCGGGAATGAAGTTAGGTTCATCAGA